CGAGGTACGAGGTACGAGGTACGAGGTACGAGGTACGAGGTACGAGGTACGAGGTAGGAGGTAGGAGCTAGGTAGGAGGTATTTACAAAAACCCCAACAAGATTGGGGATCGGGGTCTATCCATAACAAGAAAGTACAGTATTTAAAGTGCTTCTGATTAGTTAAAGTCAGTTTTGAAATCCTACATTATTTTCCTTTCCTGACTTCTGGATATAAATTGAAAAATAGATCACAAAGTAGTCGCATCAGCATTGGAGTGCCGCCCTTTTCAGAAAAAAAGGCCAAACTGTAGGAAAATGCAATTATGACCAGCTCATTTTCGAAATTAGAAAAACTTTGTTAGCCGTTAAAATTACATAATAAAAACACTGTTTTCCCCAGTCTTCTAATAGGTAAACCTTCTAAGTAGAAAAGTATATTTTTCCAAGAATCGTCTGAGAATGAAATTACGCCTAATTATAAAATGAAAAGATAATTTATTCTAATTTATTCATAAAGTTTTACAGTTTTCTAACAGCATTGAAAACATGGTTAGAAACTTTCCCGGAGCAAACAGAATTTTAAAAATTATTATTATACTATATATAGCGCTTACTAGTATTAAAGGGACTCTAAGCATAATTTGATGTGATCTTATTGTTTATATTTTTTATATGTTAGGTTCTCCTAGATTCTGGTGGGGGGTGGGGGGTGGGGGTTAATGTGTTATTTCCTCTGTACCTGGGATTCTAGTGGGTTAGGATAATTAGTTAAATGCAATTCATTTCAGAAATTACAATGGTATCTCTTAGCTTACACCTTGATGAGAGAAACAATGAGAGAGAATTCGTTTCAAAACGTATTCAATTCTGTCAGTTTATTTTGTTTGTTTCTGCTGCATACATCCGCAGGGTACTGTTATAGAAAAACGAACAGAAAGAAAATGCCATCGGTATGTTTTCCAGACGAAGGTTCAACGGTCTGGTATCGTTGTGAACTGTGCGACCCTTTAAATGGATGATCACTTGAAACTATATCAACATACCGTCCCTTCAAGAGAAAATTTTAATTTAGAGAATTTTCTGATTAAATAATAATAAACCAGTCAAAAGTTTGAGGCTGGTCGAAACTTTGAAAGTTAGATGTTTTCTTTTGTAAAATATTTTTCCTAATTTTATATACAGTAGTCCCCAAAATACAATGGAATACAAATTTATATTAAATATAGTTAAAAAGGTTGAAAAAACAAAAAGATCAGAAAATCAAGCTTTGTGGCGAAGACTCAATTCCTTTTACGAGAAAATCGAGGTTTTTTGTGAAAAAATGCCGAAAGCGTTTTGAGTTCATAATTTAAATAATAAAAGAAATAGAAGAAAATATTACAGGATTCATCATATCAATATGTTTAATAAATAATTTAATTATAAATAATGTACTAATCATAACAAGCTGTTGTTTTCTCCACCTTGATAAATAATACAGAGGTTCTTAGAAAAATTATTTTATATATTCTTTTAAGAATCATAATTACAAGAAAATTTCCAAATAATTAGATCAGCCAAAGGCGTCGCTTAACCTCGGAATCTTATTATCTTTAAAGTTTTCTCGTCGTCTTTACAGTCCATCCTTTATGGATAGCCCTGTATTTAGAGCATATATTGATGAAGCGATCATGGAAGTGGAACTACATATTTTTTATACGTGTTTATTTGGGTTATATTACACTTACACCAAAGAGTTCCTATACAGAATAACATATATTTCTTAAACATGATTTTAAAAATATGCCTGAAATAAAGACTGCAACGCTGTACTTTTTAATCTTTAGACGACATAAAGTCGGTTTCTTTAAAGTTTGAAATCTTTTTCTACAAAGCCGTGAATGAGAAGTATTTCAATTCCTAAAAAGGTTGAAATTTGTTCTCTCTTGGACAAAGTCGTAACTTTAAATCCAGAAGGAACCTCTTCTTTAATATTAAGAATGGGACAACAAAATTCTCCCGACCAAGAACTACTGAAGAAGTTTGCACAATAAAAAAATATATTACGAAAGGTTCGTGGCATATACAGTGATAAACAGAAAACCTCGCAATGCTTAAGTGTATTTCATGCAATTAGTTTTACTAGACATTCATTAAGTCACAATTAGACACTAATTAAGTGAAATGGGCCTGTTTACACATGTGGCCCATGCTCATTTCTCATTGGAAAATTTAAGGTCATAACTTGAGTTTAAAAGTCGTCTTCCAATTTCAGAGTTTTCTAGTTATCAAGTTATAGCAAAATCAAATTATTATCCTTTGTTATTTAGATTATATGGTAGAGTTCCATTCACATCTGGGGCTTATCCTGCTGCAATTCTTTTACCCTTTTCCACAACATCAACAATAACAAAAACAACAACTACAACTACAACTGCAACAACAACAACAACAACTACAACAACATCGACCACAACTACAGCTGTATCGCTTAGGTAAAATTTGATGGACGCTTCGCGCCTCGTTTCTAAGTATCAATAATTAATGTTTATTTTTACATGCAACCATTTTTTATTCGAACAATATGAAAATATCATTTGGGATATCGCAGATATTTTTCTGTTTATATTGGCGGATTTATATAAATATTCTATTTATAAAAGTTTTATGGAGGATTTGAAAATTTTGAACATTCTTAAACCTTCCCGTGGGTGATGTGAGGTCCCAATTTAACTATTTTTTGTTTTTTTTCAGTTTAGGCCTTATGACGTTTATTTAATTCAAACAAACAAACCATTAAACCAACTTTCAGAAAGACAAATAAATATAGTATTGTTCAATGTTTAGTCTTGTTTGGAATGATATTGGAGAAAACGATGATAATGATGAATATGATGATGGTGGTGTTCACGGTGGTCGTGGAGATGGTTTACAATTAGAAGATTATCATAACGACGAGGTAATATAACACAATTCATCGTACGCTATTTTACAACTTGAGGGTCACTTGAAATTACGTGTACAGTCCCTTTAATGAATTTCCTACTGGCAAGCCGACAAGCTGGTAAAATATGTTTCTATTATATCGAGAAAAAAAACAGCAAAGTTTTTACTTCTCAATTAAAACCTCCAACAGACCCTCTCTGACAGCTTGACAGGGTGTTACAATAAACATGAAAGTTGATATGCAACTTGAAGGTCGTCATTAATTTTTGAAATCGGTTGCGCCATAAATTCGTAAACCTTATTTTATAAGTGAATTGATAGAATTGATTATCACAAAATACCTGTCATTTGACAAATGCTTTATTGTTCTTTCAAAATTACCGGCGGAAATATGAAAAATTTCGCTAAGATTTGACAATTTTGATTTTATTGAATAAATTAAAATCTCTGGTTATTTCAACAGTACAAAAAAGGCAGGCCACAGTTTGAAAATGCCAGGATAAAGGAAATTTTGTTTATTTTTTCCAAAAATCAAATAATACATGCAAAAATGGGTTGTCAAAACACCTTCAAGTCGCCTGTCACCTGTTATGTTCGTGATACACTTAGTACTTTTAATTGTAAAGCCAACCCACAGTAATGAAAAGAATCAAAAGTAAAAAAAGAAAAAAACATCTTTCAAAGAATAAAAATCGGTGTTACGTACTTTACCAAAGGCATTTTCCCAAGGGCAACTTCCCAAGTGACAATTTCCTAAGTTGCAACTTCCCAAATGTGCAGTTTCCCAAGCGGCAACTTCCCAAATGACAATTTCCCGAGCGGCAACTTCCCAAATGTACATTTTCCCAAATGACAATTTCCCAAGTGGCAACTTCCCTATGTAGGAAAAACGGCATTTTCCCCATGAAGGAAAATGTACATCTGGGAAGTTGCCGCTTGGGAAAATACACATTTGGGAAGTTGCCACTTGGGAAAATACCCTTGGGAAAGTACCTAACATCAAAAAACCGGTTTATAATTAATTACATGATTCAGGATCAAAGTGAACAGGAACCTGAGAAATGCAATGGAGTAAATACAGAAGAATGTAAACCGTCTTTAAAGGACGGGACTCTTCGTCTTGTCGGGGGCAGGGACGAAACAGAGGTATGTGAACCGTCTTTAAAGGACGGGACTCTTCATCTTGTCGGGGGCATGGACGAAACAGACGTATGTGAACCGTCTTTAAAGGACGGGACTCTTCGTCTTGTCGGGGGCAGGGACGAAACAGAGGTATGTGAACCGTCTTTAAAGGACGGGACTCTTCATCTTGTCGGGGGCATGGACGAAACAGACGTATGTGAACCGTCTTTAAAGGACGGGACTCTTCGTCTTGTCGAAGGCAGGGACGAAACAGAGGTATGTGGACCGTCTTTAAACGACGGAACTAATTGCTTTGTCGGGGGACGGGAGGAAACAGAGGTGCATAAACAGCTTCAAGCAACGGAACTAATTGCTTTGTCAGGGGACAGGACAAAACATAGGTACTTAAACCGTTTCAAGCGACAGAACAAATCACCTTGTCGGGAGACGAGATATTTGATTGAATATTTAAACCTTGACAATGTTTTATATTATTAACTATCCTTACTATTGAAGGGTTAGCTTAACCTTGATAAGTGTAAAATTTTACACCTGATGTAATTTTGATTAAATGTTTAAATGATAACAACGAATTAAATTATTAATGAATTGATTAAATATTTAAATGTTGACGATGTTTTATATTTTAAAATATCCTTACTAGTAGGCTAGTAGCCGTAAGTAGATTAAATGGGGGTTCAAATGATCAGGAATAAAACAAGATTCAAGCTTCTGAAAATAATATCCGTTTGATTACAAAAATTAGTTGTTTACTGCACAATCACGAATTTTAGGCTTTTACTATTTTTGAAACGTGTTCACTGCACGAGGGGTTGTTTATGTTTTGTAGGAGCCAAGAAATGTTGGGTTTGGCCAGCGAAGAAAATTCTGGTCAATGACGACCTTACAACGGAGTAAATTAAGTTTATGGTTTACAAAAATGTTTCTTGTCCAGAACAGTCTTGAAACACTGACTCCAAATATAAAGCACACTGAAAGCTAAATATATTTAAGAATGTCACAGCTAGGAATTAAAAACCGTTTATAAAGATAAAGTGGCATTTAAACCAAAATCTTTTTTTTTTGAGTACCAGCTCCCTGAATACTAATGATGGAAATTGACTCTTTGACACAAGCACCATTAGTTTGCAAAGATACAATAACACAATCCTTTCCTTTTTAGCTTTATCAGCAATAAGTGTCTTAAGACTGTTCTTTAGTTTCCACTCTGGCTTATATTGATAAAATAATTTTGCGTCAGTTTTTGAAATCAGATATTTAGATTTCACAAAACATTTTCTTGTTTCACACACTAGCAAAATTGGAGTTGAGAAGGAAAATATTTAAAGATTAGCACACCCATCCTTATAGTTGTCCTTGTAAATAAAAATAATGAGTATTTGTTTATATTTAGGGCAATGTAGAGATTTACCATATGGGAATATGGGGATCAGGTATAAAATACACAATATTTTAAAAGAACTTTGTTCTACAGTTTTTAAAATAATCTTAAAAAGTTAGTTTTTGAAGTATAAAAATGTTGCAAAAGAACTTTTAAAGAATTTCGATATTTGAAAAAACAATTTTAAGTTTTCTTAAATTTTTAGATATTTTCTTATCATAAGTTGTTTTAAAACATAAAATTAAATATGAAAAATAATTAATTATTAATCAAAAATGTAATTATATATTTACCAGTGTGTGATGATGAGTGGGATAAAGATGAAGCAAACATAGTTTGTAAGAAGCTGGGGTTTCCTGGAGCCATTGCACCAACACATGGATCTAAGTAATTATAGATTTTATAAAAGGGACTGGTCACTGTCGCAGGGGCCGGTAACGTCGTGACTGTGTGTCCGTACCAAAAGAGTGTGTGTCTGTTAGGGTCACGGTAAGGAACTGCTATTAAATAACCTGATATTTGTAGTGTTGGTATGTAGTAAAGACCTACTCCATAACAAGTTATCAAAGCATATCTATCCAGGTAGTCAACAGGACACAACCCACCTGGCTCTAAATGCCACACAGGGACACAAGCATAGCTATCGAACAAGCTATTTATCCAGGCTCTAAATGCCACACAGGGATACAAGCGTAGCTATCAAAATCCAACTACTTATACAGTGCTCTAAATGCCACACTAGCCTAGCTATAACAAAAAGCTGTATATTGATCCCAAATGATGGGACGATTCAATGCTCTAAATGCCACACAAGGACGCAAGCCTAGCTATACAACAAGCTATATATCGATCCCAAATTAACAGAGACGATCTCTTTATAAAAACAGGGCTGCAGGTTTACTCTCAAGCACTAAGCAGTACAGAGTTACTCTATAAACTAAGCTTTATTCAATATCTTATGTCACAAGGTAAAATGAACAAAAGAATCAGTTTTGTCAATTACCATAATGTCAATTGGCCCAAATATGTACACTGGACAGTTAAGACCACTTTTTAAATTTTTAGTAATTTTGATTTGACATTTAAAAAAGAATTTTGTTTGCGTAATATACATTTTTTCGATGTATATATGCATAAATATTAAAAAGTTGTTTTTTAGAGAAATTGCTTTGAAACAAAAAGTTTGGGGTTTCCAATGAAAATCTGGGGGTCTACAATGAAATTATGGGGGGTCTCCAATGAGACGATCATACGGGTCTCTGACTACCCCCCCCCCCTCTCGCCTCCTTATTTTAATTTTTGAGACCAGACCGACTTCAAAGTATTTCACAGGAATTATTTATTTTTGAATATCTAAATAGACTTTAAGTTCATTTTACGAAAACATTAGATAACAATGATTGCCCCCCCCCCCCTCAGCCCTTTGTACTCTTCTTCAAAATACGTTTTCCGCTCTATATCTTATTTTGTTTACAAGTGAAAACTGGTTTCATACAACAATATGCAGTATCCAATTGCAGTACACAGTTCAGAAACAATATGACCGGAAAGTATGAAAATCTAACAAGTGTTCTCAACTAGGATGTACAGTACTGCATTGTGGTAAATTTAAGCCAGTTGACATTATGGTAATTTACAAAACTGATTCTTTGGAACATGAATTGACGTCGTTACAATTCCTATGATGTTATCTATATCATATGAGTAAGACCATCGTATTACGTTTTTATCGCACAGTTAAAGTTTAATGTAAATATTATAAGATTAGCGAGAGTAGATATAACGCAGTCAAACTATCTCCACATATGTTTATAGCGTAGTTCAAGTATATCACATGATTTAATCTAATCATACTACGTATTCTATTGAAACACGTTTTCAATGAATAATTGACATTATGTATAGGTCTGCAACATAAATTGTTATAATGTCTTATACAACGTACTGCAAGTTTACAGAATATTGTGTTTACACGATATTTGCTACAGGTATATAGAACACAGAAAGTTTATTTGCCCAATCTACATTGGAAACCTTTAAAAATATTTTCAAAGAAAATACGATAAATCAATTTATGTTTTTGGTTCGTGAATTGGTCAGTAATTCTTGAAATTAGATACCATTAAATAATTACTTTCTGTTCTGAAATGGATACATCCTATTTACTATATGGATATATTTTTTATAGATACATAATACTTATACATTACAATCGTACATACAGTTTTTATCTATATCTATTTATCTAAAACGTGAATTATTATAATATTATTTAGATATCCGGATACAGTCTATTATGCGCATGCATTTTATTTCTGTTTAGATATGCAGGATATACAATCTATCTTCAACATGGATATTGGATATGGTTTCTGTTTAAATATGGATATGTCTACTGGTTAAGTTATAGATACAGCTTATCACTGCATGGATATAAATGTTAAGATATGGATTGTTAAATGCTGTTCAGATATGGCTACATTCTATTCAATATATGGGTGTAATCATTGTTTAGATATGGATACAGTCTATCTACGACATGGATGGATAACATTTACTGCTATGGCACTGAGAGACATATAACGGTAAAATTGATTTAGATACTTTTAATTTAAATACGATGACACAAAATTGATGGCAAATCTTTTGGATCTTAAATCTGGTATTGCTTTAGCGCTCAATAATTGAACATTTATCACAGAATATTAATTTGAATTGTGGAACTACTCTTGGTGGATTTCTATATATACCACATGGAATTGACCTTAAAGGGTTAATAAGCGTAATATTAAATACCCCTCCATGGAAATATACCAATGCCCGATTCACAACGGTACCCTTGAAACCGTTCTCTTATCAATAATGTGGAAGATGTTGTTGTTGTTCTGGATTTAACTGTGTTTAATTCTTATAAAACCTTAATCCTTTCCTGCAGTAAAGATTATAAGTAGAAACCACAATTGCAAATAATCGGCCAAAAGTATAAAAAATATTGATATCTAATTCATATTTGATCAGCCATAAAGCTTTTAAGGGTGCTCTAATGAATCGGACATTGTCAACTTTGATTTGACGATCAATTAAAATTACGCTTACAGTTCAATAATATATCATGTTCAGAAGTTGTCAGCAATTCCAGTTTCCACTAAAAAGTTTTGCACTCTGAACTTAGGAATGGACTGAACGAGTTCTATTGATTTAAAAGGTCCCAACTCTAAAGAAAATTTTAAACATTTTTAGGATTGTAGACATGATGGTTGGGGTATTCATGATTGTGACAGGTAATTTTTCTTCTTCTTCTTCCGAATTCCGTAAGAAAAAGTAAATTAATCTTAATGAAAGATGTTAAGAACAGAATTTAAGTTTGAAGGTAGTGTGTCATGCAACATACATCCAAACTGTTTTGCTACAAATTCAGATTTTAAAAATCCCATATCTGTTCAACTCGATATTTTGTAGACCTTTGATATTTTAACTTATGAATTCTGTTAGATCAAATAATCTACGTTAGAAATATCAAAGGTTTACCCCATCAGGTTGCAAAGGTATAGCGATTCGAAAACTGGAGTTGTGATAGACTTTAAAGTGTGGGTCGACTTTAAAGTGTGGACCTGTGTCCGAATTTATTGTATTTAAGTCGCGTCTAAAATCCCCCCAAAACCGGTTTCAATTGAGCGCCGGCTTTAATCTTGAAAAATTTAATACAAATTTAAGTGGAACCAATAAAATTTGAGCCGCGGTTTAAATTTAAACCCCGACTCAAATTCTTTAAATTCGGCCTCAGGACATTTTGTACATTTTGTGACATTAAAACACTTTTTCTTAGCTTTAGTCTAAAAAACTTAATTGAAAAAAATTCTGAAAGATATCAATTTTGGAACTTGAAGTGCCAAACTATTTAAGCAGGTTTAAATTAGTAAATATAATATCAATATTGGAACTTGAAGTGACAAACTATAATTAAACAGGTTTAGATTAGTAAATATAATATCAATATTAGAACTTGAAGTGACAAACTAATTAAACAGGTTTAGATTATTAAATATAATATCAATATTGGAACTTGAAGTGACAAACTATTTAAACAGTTTTAGATCATTAAATAATTACAGGCGAAAGTTATAAAGATTATCAAGAAAAACATCAACATCAAGATAAGCTTAATCCTTAAACTGCTGTGAAAACCAATAAACTCTGGAATATGAAGACGACTTTCAAACTCAAGTTTAACTCTTGTGTGGTGAATAAGATCGATTTCAATTAATAAGTTATCTAATAAGTAACTAGGATAAGTATTTGCTTCGTAACAACATCAAATAAATATTGCTGATTGTCGTCTTACTATTCCAGAGTTTTCTGGCTCTCACTGTAGAGGATTCTGAAAACATAAAATCATATGAAAAATAATTTTTTGGTGATAATAAATATAAGTTCTAAAATATATAAAGTTTATATTTAATTAATTTCCTGTTTTATTTAGAACTGAATCTGCAGGAGTCAGGTGTAAACCTAACCCACCTCCTACAACAACAACAACAACAACTACACCTAGACCAAGGTAGAGCACTCTAGACTTCTGCCTCCCCCCCCCTCCCCACCCATATATTTAAAGCTAAAACCTCGTTCTACAAATGTTCCAAATGTTCTTAGAATGGTTTCAAAATTCTCACTTTGTTGGGTTAAATTTCAAAGCGAACAATTAGATTCCAGGCAAAGATGGGTTTCCTAGCTAGTATGTATATTGAATATAGAAGTGACTTTGAAAGCTGAACAGTAAATATATGTCTATAACAGTGTATTGTATTCTAGGTATCTAATGAGAAGTATAACGAAGGATATATCTTTACCAGTGTGTTGTATCCTAGGTATCCAATGAGAAGTAACATGAAGGATATATCTATAACAGTGTATTGTATCCTAGGTATCCAATGAGAAGTATAACGAAGGATATATCTTTACCAGTGTATTGTATCCTAGGTATCCAATGAGAAGTAAAATGAAGGATATATCTATACCAGTGTATTGTATCCTAGGTATCCAATGAGAAGTATATATAAGGATATAAATATAACGGTGTATTGTATCCTAGGTATCCAATGAGAAGTATATCGAAGGATATATTATTACCAGTGTATTGTATCCTAGGTATCCAATGAGAAGTATATCGAAGAATATATCTTTACCAGTGTATTGTATCCAAGGTATCCAATGAGAAGTGTAGAGAAGGATATATCTATACCAGTGTATTGTATCCTAGGTATCCAATGAGAAGTAAAACGCAGGATATATCTATACCAGTGTATTGTATCTTAGGTATCCAATGAGAAGTACAATGAAGGATATATCTATAACAATGCATTGTATCCTAGGTATCCAATAAGAAAAATAACGAAGGATATATCTATACCAGTGTATTGTATCCTAGGTACCCAATGAGAAGTATAGCGAAGGATATGTCCATACGACTGCTGGGTGGACGTGTTAAGGAAGAGGGGAGAATAGAACTACAGCTTGATGGAGGGGATTGGGGGGTGGTCTGTGGTGATGGCTGGGGGGTCAGGGAGGCAATGGTAGCCTGTAGGCAATTAGGTTAGTAATATTAACTTTTTTAAGGGAGTGCTGGAGAGTTTTCTCAACTAGCTGTTCTAAGGGTACTGAGATAAAATGAAAAAGAATTTGAACTAATTGTTGTTTGTTTAACTTCATCTAAATTGCATTGTCCGAACAAATGAAAAGTAGTTCAGCTATCCGTTGTTGATTCAACTTCTTTTCGCTATTCATTAATGTTGACCTATGTTTTATGTATTTTTAGGAGATTCTTAATTCTAAGGGATTTTTATATGTATAAAAACTTATATTAAAAAGTGTTTTATAACCAATGGTCCTGATTTATTGTAGTTCTTTTGAAATTGTTGATATTCTCTTAAAAATCCAGTGACATGTCCTTTTTTTATCCCCTTTTAAAAGCAATGACACATAAAAGAATGATTTGCTGGAAAGTAGGTAAACGGTTTTAAATAAAAATGCAAAAATACCAACTTTGAAAATGCAAATTTCTCTCTACATCATTGTGTGACAGGATGATTTTTTATCTCTTTTTCAATTGCGTTTTAAGTGTTTGATTGAAATTAGCAAAAACGGGGTATTTGCGCAGAAATGAAAGAGAGTATAGATTGGCTAATTCCGAATTAACGTCTCAAACCGAAGAGCGATAGGACCCATACAAGTCCACAGAGTTGCAGTATTTGACCCAGAAACCGTAGATTTAAAAACAATCCCTCAGATGTTATAAGTTATAATTGTCGAATTCCATTCGGGGCATTTCTATGTAAATAAAATATCTTAATATCTCAATAAATGTGTATCTATTCTGGTTTTTAATCCCCCCCCATGGCCACACTTCCAGGTGGTTGGGAGAAGACTTATACCGCAAGTGCAAAATGCATGTATATGAATATGTAGGTGTATATATATATATGTATATGTATATGTATATGTATATGTATATGTATATGTATATGTATATGTATATGTATATGTATATATATGTATATGTATATGTATATGTATATGTATATGTATATGTATATGTATATGTATATGTATATGTATATGTATATGTATATGTATATGTATATGTATATTTATATGTATATGTATATGTATTTGTATATGTATATGTATATGTATATGAATATCTAGGAATGGTCTACGCTGCCGCTGCCTTTTCTACAGATTTATTTGGTGGACAGAATACGACAAGAATTATAAGCGGGATTGCTTGTAAAGGTTAGTAAAAGTATAATTTTATAAACAACATTTTTTTATTGCGAGGGCCTAATATACTATAGTTTATGTTACTTACTATAATCATTTTAGCTTTTAATGAAACTTGACCGGCAAGCATTTTTTCTTACAACGTTGAACCATAATTATACAAAAAAAATTGGCAGATTGTAATGTTTGTCTTTGTGGGAATTTTTTTAAAATTTTCAAAAACCAAAAATGCAAAAATTTCCAGGTTGAATATTGCAATTTTAATGACTTGTTAAAACTTTGAGTACCCATATACCCGTTATCTTAAATTTTCTGAATATTAAACAAAAAATTAATATTAAATATTTAAAAACATTCTATAAAAGCAAAGCTTAGTAATCTGAGAAGCACTCTGAATTCCCCGCGATAAATACCTCTAGCTCTAGGCTGTTCTGTTAAATTGTCAGATCAAAGTTTCCTAATTAATTTTCCAATAAGAAGTTAGAGGAAAACAACAAACCCTTGTAATCTTGTTTCAACTTGACGAACAAAAAGTTGGAACGAAGAATTAAAAGATACAAAGAATCGTCTCCTTACTTCTTGTTCAACCTTCACATTAGCTTTTATAATCAGAGGAATGAAATCTCAAGAATTAAAGAATGGTTTTGCCACAAACTCAAACTATGAATTTAGTCAGCTTTTTACCATCATTGGAAATATAAAGGGATTGGAAATATAAAGGGATTGGAAATATAAAGAGATTGGAAATATAAAGGGATTGGAAATATAAAGGGATTGGAAATAAAAGAGGATTGGAAATATAAAGGGATTGGAAATATAAAGGGATTGGAATATAAAGGGATTGGAAATATAAAGGGATTGGAAATATAAGGGGATTGGAAATATAAAGGGATTGGAAATATAAAGGGATTGGAAATATAAGGGGATTGGAAATATAAAGAGATTGGAAATATAAAGGGACTGGAAATATAAAGGGATTGAAAATATAATGGGATTGGAAATATAAAGGGATTGGAAATATAAAGGGATTGGAAATATAAAGGGATTGGAATATAAAAGGATTGGAAATATAAAGGAATTGGAAATATAAGGGGATTGGAAATATAAAGGGATTGGAAATATAAAGGGATTGGAAATATAAAGGGATTGGAAATATAAAAGGATTGGAAATATAAGGGGATTGGAAATATAAGGGGATTGGAAATATAAGGGGATTGGAAATATAAGGGGATTGGAAATATACAGGGATTGGAAATATAAAGGGATTGGAAATATAAGGGGATTGGAAATATAAAGGAATTGGAAATATAAAGGGGTTGGAAATATAAAGGGATTGGAAATATAAAGGGATTGGAAATATAAAGGGATTGAAAAATTTAAGTATGTGACAAAAACTAAGTTTCTTGAATAGTGATAAGTACTTAAACTACTTAGACTAAGTTGAACTACAGTTTCCTTCATATTGAACTGGTGAACAAGAGAAGTGGTTCAAATTACTCTGCGTAGTTCATTTTTTTCTCGCCACATTTTTTAATATTTGAATCTTTTTCTTACCGTCTAATGCAAGCTCATCAACGTTTCTGAATAATTTTTAAATATTTCTCAATTTATCGATTTCTTGTTAATGGGATCATCTTTGTAAATTTAGGTGACATTTCATTTTACTAGGAGTGATCTTGATTCACAAAGGTACCATTTAAAACTATGTTGGATGTTGAAAAACAAAGTTTTTCCAGATTGTTTATTTCTCAAAATTTCCTCCATTTTTAAAAGAAGAATTGCACAAAGTACATAATAGAGAAACCACAATTGAATTTAATCGATTTCTAAAGAAATTAAGATAGATATTTGTATCAGAAAATGGTTTAAAAGGTACCATTGTAAATATTTTATTTAAATATATTGTAATATTTTAGTGATGGAGATATCTTTATTTTTCAGCCGTAGTTTCTGGAAAGCAATTTTAGAGATTTTAATGAACAACGAATTCTACTCCAGAGATACTCTGAGTTGTTGGTTTCTGGGTTTCTTGACTTGAAGAACGTGTATAATCCTTTTTTATTTAGGAAATGAGGATAGTTTGATGGAATGTGAACATGATCAGTTTGGAACAGTTTTCTGTCCAGGAGAAGGGGCAGAGATAGGGATACATTCATAATAATGTACTTTACATTCATAAATAATGTACTTTACATTCATAAATAATGTACTTTACATTCATAAATAATGTACTTTACANGCTACTGAGCAGAGGTTTATTGAGAGGTATAGAGTCTTCATTTATGAAATATTCTTAAATTCTTAAATAATGTACTTTACATTCATAAATAATGTACTTTACATTCATAAATAATGTACTTTACATTCATAAATAATGTACTTTACATTCTTAAATAATGTACTATACATTCATGTACACTGTACAGAATACTTTACTTTTGTAAAGGTGTACTCACATGCATAGTGTACTCATCTAACCCATTTTGAATGAAATTGTTCGTCATATATTTTGAAATACGCAATTTTTAAACTATAGTAACAGCTCACCGCGCACTGAGACCCGGAACAATTAAACAAACTTTTAGTTATAATTTCACTATAGTTTCATTAGAAGTAAATATTTCCATTTACTGATAGCGCCGATACAAGGATTCATAACTCTGATTGGATAATGAGATAGATAGAAAGATAGATGTTAACGCCATACTATTTCTATTGGTTCAGAATAGACAACAAACACATGACTGAACCCTGATTGGATTAGGCGCTAATGGACTCGGCATACAAGAGTGATTTGCATCGTATTTTTGCCTTGAACATAAAGCTTTGGACATCCTGGATCTCAAGAAATTTTAGAGTGGTAAAATGGACTTAGTTTCGATAATAATACGCAATATTTATTATGATAAGTATTCTGAGAAACTATCCCTTTACATTGTCATGTTTAGATGGACACATGATAGTTTATATATTGTTGGTACTCATGTACACAAGAGGTATTGAGACTAAAGCAAAGTGTACGTAAGATTGAAATCTCATATATTTTTTATCATATCTCCTCTTATTGAAGAGCTATTGAGAGATATAGCACGCCAAACTAAAGCAAAGTGTACGTAAGATTGAAATCTCATATGTTTTTTATCATACCTCCTCTTATTGAAGGCGTATTGAGAAATATAGCACGCCAAACTAAAGCAAAGTGTACGTAAGATTGAAATCTCATATGTTTTTTATCATACCTCCTTTTATCGAAGAGCTATTGAGAGATATAGCACGCAGAACTAAAGCAAAGTCCATGTAAGAAAAAAATTTCATATGTTTTTATCATACCTCCTTTTATTGAAGAGCTATTGAGAAATATAGCACGCCAAACTAAAGCAAAGTGTACGTAAGATTGAATTCTCATATGTTTTTTATCATATCTCCTCTTATTGAAGGCGTATTGAGAGATATAGCACGCCAAACTAAAGCAAAGTGTACGAAAGAAAAAAATCTCATATGTTTTTTATCATACCGCATTTTATTCAAGAGCTATTGAGAAGACAAAAATGTTTTGAATTAATAATATGTAACCGATAAAGTAAGCTTTTTTACACTTTTTTTAACACAATCAGGACTAGGGGAGCAACGGAGTCCCAAAGCCGTAACAGCAAATTGACTTAAATTTGACCTTCTCCTGCTGTATAGTTTGCAGTTATCGAGTCTATTAAGAGGTATAGAGTCTACATTTATTAAATCTCATGTCTATAGTTTATTTAATGCCACTGAGCAGAGGTTTATTGAGAGGTATAGAGTCTACATTAATTAAATATTCTTGTTTATAGTTTATTTAATGGTACTGTATAGAAGTCTATTGAGAGTATATAGAGTCTACATTTATTAAATAGTTTATTTAATGCCACTGTATAGAAGTCTATTGAGAGGAATAGAGTCTACATTTATTAAATATTCTTGTCTATAGTTTATTTAATGGTACTGTACAGAAGTCTATTAAATAAACTATAGACAAGAATATTTATTAGATATTCTTGTCTATAGTTTGTTTAATGGTACTGTATAGGAGTCTATTAAGAGGTATAGAGTCTTCATTTATTAAATCTCATGTCTACAGTTTATTTAATGCCACTGTGCAGAGGTTTATTGAGAGGTATAGAGTCTACATTTATTATATTAAATATTCTTGTCTACAGTTTTTTATTGGTACTGCATAGAAGTCTATTGAGAGGTATAGAGCCTACTTTAGTTAAATATTCTTGTCCTGTAGCAACATGTTTAAACTTCTTTTTATACTGTATAAAGAGAATAAAAGTAGTTAGAGGATGAGTTTCAAAAGACATACTTAGACAAAAAGTACATTTAGAGATTTAGGTGGTACAAGCAACTTGAGAATAAAATCGAAATACATAAGGATCCTTCGAAAGGTGTGTGGGGTTAAAATCATTAAAAATCGCCAAAAATCAAAAATTGGGCAAAAAATTAATCGTTAAAAAATAGCTGAAATAGACAAACGTTTGTACACGTCTTAAGTTTAATTCAATGTAACTACATACATGAATGTAACTGTACAGCTGGTGTGGCATGCACAGAAACACAGGCAGATTTAGAACCCGATCTATACCAGGTAAATGGAGATCAGTTTCTTAAATTAAATTAATATATTTAATTGTTCAGCTGATGTTTTCAATATTGAGTACAGTCCCTTTAATTATATTAATATATTTGTTTGTTCAGCTGATGTCCTCAATATTAAGTACATTCCCTTTAATTAAATTAATATATTTGTTTGTTCAGCTGATGTCCTCAATATTGAGATCAGTCCCTTTAATTAAATTAATATATTTGTTTGTTCAGCTGATGTCCACAATATTAAGTACATTCCCTTTCATTAAATTAATATATTTGTTTGTTCAGCTGATGTCCTCAATATTGAGTACAGTCCCTTTAATTAAATTAATATATATTTGTTTGTTCAGCTGATGTCCTCAACTCATCTTGAAGATAAACAAATGTTTCTGCTTCAGGTATAATCTATGCAATAGCTTTACAATGTGTAGATACAGGGTGTCCCACTAAACATGCAGATACAGGGTGTCCCACTAAACATGCAGATATAGGGTGTCCCACTAAACATGCAGATACAGGGTGCCACACTAAACATGCAGATACAGGGTGTCCCATTAAACATGCAGATACAGGGTGTCCCACAAAACATGCAGATATAGGGTGTCCCACTAAACATGTAGATACAGGGTGTCCCACTAAACATGCAGATACATGGTGTTCCAGTAAACATGCGGATACATGGTGTCCCAATAAACATACAGATACAAGGTGTCCCACTAAACATGCAGATACAGTGTGTTCCAGTAAACATGCAGTTACTGGGTGTCCAAATAAACGTGCAGTTACTAGGTGTCCCAGTAAACATGAAGTTACAGGATGTTTCAGTAAACGTGCAGTTCCAGGGTGTCCCACTAAACATGCAGTCACAGGGTGTCCCAGAAAACATGGAAATACAGGGTCTCAATAAAAATGCAGATACAGGTTATCCCTTTGTAACATGCAGTTACAGGGTGTTTTAGCAAACGTGCAGTTCCAGGGTGTCCCACTAAACATGCAGTTACAGGGTGTTTCAGTAAACGTGCAGTTCCAGGGTGTCCCGCTAAACATGCAGTCACAGGGTGTCCCAGAAAACATGCATATATAGGTTATTCCTCTATAACATGCAGTTACAGAGTGTTTCAGTAAATATACAGTTACAAGGTGTTCCTGTAAACATGCAGTTACAGGATGGGCCAATAAACATGCAGTTACAGGGTGTCCCTCTAAACATGCAAATACATCATTTCTATAAACTATGATTTTAATTGCAATACTAATTTGTTCATAACAACAACAATAATAATAATAAATAATATATTTAGTGCGCTATGGAAGAGAACTGTTTAGCGAGGGAAGCCTACATTGAACAAGTAGGATCATTTATTTACATCTAAAAAGGACTGTGCATTTAACTAGATTTGCAGGTGGACTGCAGTAGAATTGCAAAACGATTGCAATGTTGCATTGCAGTTAGATTGATGTTGGATTGCAGTTGGATTATCGTTAGATTGCAGTTGGATTGCAGTTGGATTAAATTTGCTTGCAGTTATATATAGCATTAGAATTGCAATGTTGCATTGCAGTTGGATTGCAGTTGGATTAAAGTTGGATTAAAGTTGGATTAAAGTTTGATTAAAGTTGGATTAAAGTTGGATTAAAGTTTTATTAAAGTTGGATTAAAGTTGGATTAAAGTTGGATTAAAGTTGGATTAAAGTTGGATTAAAGTTGGATTAATGTTGGATTAAAGTTGGATTAAAGTTGGATTAAAGTTGGATTAAAGTTGGATCAAAGTTGGATTAAAGTTGGATTAAAGTTGGATTAAAGTTTGATTAAAGTTGGATTAAAGTTGGATTAAAGTTGGATTAAAGTTGGATTAAAAATTCAGTTTTTTGTTTCATTTTAGGCAACAAATCCTCACTGGCAGATGTTAACAAGACGTCTTTTAAGGTTAGTTTTATCAAGGGTTAGACTGAACCCTATTCAAATTCGGATTTGATAGTTACTAATTGTACATCTATATTTTGAGGAGTAAATAGTTCAAAACGCTTAATACCTAAGAGAGTTGAATCAATGTAAATTCACTTACTTTCACTTTTACCCTTAAATCGTAAATAATTTAACTAGATTTAAAACTGATCCTTTAAATATTAAAATATATGAATTCCGCAAAAAAAAATTAGAATAAGAGAAATATGAATAAGTTACGAATTAAAAAATACTCGACCTAATTTGATGTTCTATAGAAAATTCAATTTCATTTCACTGTTTTCTGGTTATATGTCAACTACTGATTTTTCAACCAACAAAATCACATTTTTTCAATTAAGAAAGATGAATGGTAAGAAATTTTTGTTCCCTAATATTCGAATAAGAAAATGAATTATTACATGTATTTAATTGGTTAAACCAATTTTAAGTCAGGGTAATGTTTTTTAATTAGTTTTTAACCTCTTTTCAAAGATAACACCGTTTAGAATTAACTTTTTTAATGATATTTTTAGATTCACAGCAGCTATAGGGAATATAGGTTCAGCAGATTTTCGGCCTTTTATTCCTAAGACTGCCTGGAATTGGCATGCATGTCATCAGGTATACCCTAGGCTAGAATTTCAAGGTGCTTCGCGCCCATCTCCATTTTAGTTTACAGTCCCTTTGAGGGATTATATTCTGCTTTAAAGCAGAGTAAATGTGTCATACGAACAGCTGGCTGTTAAGTTGTCCCGTTGATAAATTATATAAAAACTGCTCTGCGAAGTTTCGTAAAAAAATTCGCGCATTTTCATCTTTAAAGTCAATAATGGTAGATACTGTAAACTTACTATATCGGAAAATAAAAAAATGTAATTCAATCACGGGGTCCCTCGATCAATTTTGCATTCCTCACTACGCTAGTGATGTTTTGTAGACAATTTATGTCTGAAAATGTCGTAAAATAGTTTTTTAAACTAGAATTGTGACAATTTTCAGTGAAAGGGGTATTATTTGATCTAGTCAGTTACTCTCATTAGAAGAAATAATTCAGAAAAAGATTCACAGAAAAAAACCTTTTGATGGTAACAAAACAAGAAGCAAATAAAATTGCACTAAACCTAGCTTTCTTTAAGGTTTCGGAATATATCAAATTTCTTTTTTGTTGTTAAATGTGATAATTCTATATGTTTAGCATTACCATTCGATGGAGACTTTCGCCCACTTTCAGATTTTTGATTTCCAGGGTAATAGAGCTGCAGAGGGACATAAGGTAGGTTTGAAAGGATTTATTTCTCTACTTAAAGGGACTGTATGCGTAATTTCAAGTGAGCCTCCATGCTTGAGTTACAATGGTACTCTACAAAGCCTTTTCTGATCAATTATGAATTAGATATCAATGTTGTTGGTTCTTTGAACTGTTCATTTTCATTTGCAGTTTCTCTGCATGAGAAAATGACTTGCGGCAAATGGAGAAACTCGTAGAAATAAACACTTTCTGATCAACATTATTTAACAGATTAAGATTTCAAGGGTACCGTTGTAAATTGAGCATTGCCTTCTTTGCATGAAGGGTCACTTGCAAGTACGCATACAGTCCCTTTAGTGGGGTTGTCTCTCTACTCAAGGAACTGTAAGCGTAGGTTTAAGTAGTCCTTAATGCAAATATGGCAATACTTGCCCTTAAAACCTCTGTCTGATCAATAATGTGGAGAATAACGTTGTTTTCCTTGGTTTAAAAGTTTAAATTCTGATAATTGTCCTTAATGCAAATATGGCAATACTTGCCCTTAAAACCTCTGTCTGATCAATAATGTGGAGAATAACGTTGTTTTCCTTGGTTTAAAAGTTTTAATTCCATAAAACCTAAATAATTCAATAAAACCTAATTTTTTTTTAATTAGAAATTAGAAATTGATTAATTTTCTTGCAAGTTAAACTTAATCCTTCCATTGAAAATTTCAAGGGCTGAAGAAAACAATAGTTTTGATGCGTTGAATTTCAAGCTTTATGAAAAATCAATTAACAAAAAGAAAATATAATTTTATAAGGAATTGAGTTTTTGTCACAAACTCAAACTTTCTAATCCCTAAATCTTTTCAATCTGATGGGCTAAACTTTGACATTTCAAACTTAGATTATTTGATATAACAGAATTCATTGTTTGGAAAAGGCCTATAAAATTGGGTTGCTCAGATATAGGGATTATCGATATGCCAAAGACTTATTTCCTTCAATTTTATATTTTGGTAATTGAAACATTAACTAATTTCTGGATATTATAATTTTCTTAAGTCAATACTTATAAGTTTAACGATGAAACGTTTAAAAGCTTGAAAATTGAAAAATTTATTAATATAAAAAATGAATATTTTTAGGCCTCATTTTGTTTGGAGGATAACGACTGCGTGGGGGTGGATCCCCATTTTGATTGTGAAAATTACGGAGATCAGGTTTAAAAAATTATTTTTTGTCGTCTGCCATCTGTATCATTATCCATTAACCACCAAAAACCAAAGAATTTTCTAAAACCGTCACCATATGTTTTGGGACAACTTTTACGAAAAAAAGACTTAAAATATTTTGTTTTCATCTTCTTTTAGTTTTAAAATTTTAAACTACATACACTTAGATTTTAAAGTTTTAAATTATTTCAAGAAATTAAATATTAATTTAAAGCAATTGTAACATTATTTTATGGTAAAAATTTGAACACTTACCTCAACCTCTAAATCTTGTCTTTATCTCTGCAACCTAAAGTAAAAATGAATTCAAAATATTCAGTTCTTTTTCACTTAAAACAGAAACTTAAATATTTGAATTTTGAAAATGTGGTCTGTTCCGATAACCGTTAAAAATCAAAAACAATTTTATTATTTTTCTCAAAAATTATAACTTGTATTTTTCCCTTTTTTAGCTTTTTTCCTGCTACTTGTACTTTTCATACTTTCCCTGGCCGGAAATTCAAATTACTCTCTGATTTTAGTTTTAAAGTTTTAAACGAGAATTGAAGTTTCAAGTTCTTAGTGGGTTTAGTTAGAGCCTTAAAGGATGTAATTTATATTTTTAATTTTTAACTTTTTATATATTGCTACCTTTCTCCACTTTACTCTTAAAATCTGTTCGGTTCAGAACAGTACCATTTAAATCTTATAAGATATACTATATTGGAATTTTAGGGCGCATCGCGCCCATCTTCTATTTCAATTGTTAACAAACAAAAAATTTCACGGATTTTATAAAAAATATTTTGTGGATTTTCAAAATTTTTAAAAATCAAATTTTGTTAGAGGCAAATTTTTGAAAATTCGATCTTCCACAAACCTTTGCTGGTGTCATACGAGGTCCCTATCGGTTCAGCCGTTTTAGTAACGACTTAAGATGAGGAATATATCGCCGTAGTGTTTTTATGTTAACAAAGAAAAATGCTCTAAATGTCCTTTTTTGCCTTTGCAAATGTATAAATCTTAAAAAATTTAGAAAAAACCGCAATAGAAAATAATAAATTATCAGATTCATAAATTGATTTCATCCTAACTTTTTGCATTGAGAAAGGCCGGTTGAAAGGCCGGGTATCATAATGATATGAACCCTAAATTACAGGGTCAAATATAATTATGTTTACAGTCACATTCAGATAAAAAATTTTTTGGAGAAACTTTTTAATGATATTAAAATGATGAAATTTTAATCGTCATTTATCCAAAAATAAGAATGATAAGAATATATACTAATCTTGTTAATACCATATAATTTATAAATTGATTATTTACGTTAAAAGTTTGAAATATTGTTTGAGAAATGTTTTCAAATTGTATTCACATTATGTAAACTTGATAATATTATCATTAAGAAATAATAATTTTTTCATATTAATTATTAATAATACTTTTAATGATAATGATATTTATTCTAGTAATTATTATTATTATTTTTATTATAATTTCAGGGTATAACCCCCGGATGTAAGGATATCTATTATTACAATATAGACTGTCAATGGATAGATGTTACAGACCTACCATTAGGTAAATAAAAACTGGAACTGAAACTGTAAATACCAATCTGAAGGTGCTTCGACATAACCAACCCAAGTTTTGTTTCCTAGCCGTAGCGCTCAGAATACCTAACCGTGTTCATAATATAAATGTGAAAATAAATAATAGAGCAAATCTTGCGAAGCAAAAATAACACTTGTTCTATTGTATATTGTGACTTCCCTCTGGAGTAGAACGAATCCCAGCCATTTCCATGCTGGTCTGCCATAAAATATATCTTAAAAACAGTAAAAAACACTTTAAAGAATCTTTAATTGGAATATCATTTGAAAAGTAAAAATACATAAACCACTGCATCATTGGTACGACTTTGTGACCTCGTAACTCCACTAGTTTTGATTTTACGGACAAGCATGAGAGAAGCAAATATTCATTCGACTACATATAATGACACGCACCTCTGACCCTTTAGTAAAAGTAAATTTAACCTAAAGTCTGACCGCGTCAACCTTGTTGCACCGGCTAGTCCTATTAAGTGTCTGCTTTATTTACCCAATGTCCCGGCGATACGGTACAAACTGGGACCGGAAAGGTTAACCCGACTCGGAAATTCAAATGTACTACGCTACGGCTGCCGGTGATGAATTCAAAACATTTTTGTTAATCTTATAAACTCCTCTTAAAGCATTGATCTAACGTTCAGTTTACTTTAGTTTAATGTAGAACAGTGCAATTTTATGTTTTATTTATTTTATTCTTGAGTGTGAAAGATAAGTAGTAGAGTGTATTTTATACTGAAAATTAAATGTTTTTGTGACACTTTGGTTCCCCGCAATATATATAAAGTTATTTATGAACATTGTTTCAGAGATGTTTTTATTTTCGATTTAGAAGTTTATTTAAGAGATTATTTTCTTTTAAGATAACATAGATCACAGAAAAAGAGATAGTTTTATTAAGAACAAAGTGATTAATTGCTTTTGGCATCAATGTTAGAACAGAGAAGTTATTTCCGTTTAGAAGAGAGTTAGTTTGTTTAACCCTAAACCGATGGGAGGGGGGGGGGTAGCTCTATATGCAATAAATCAAAAAGTAATTGAGCTTTAAAGCTCAAACTTTCTGACTTTCCAAGCCCCTCACTTAAGACAAAAAGCTGGACTTTTATACCTACTGCCTGAATCCTGAGGCATATATCCAATCGTTGTATTTGCAATTTTTGGAAAATAAATTTGCATAGATTTTTGCACAGACGCCTATAATGGAATTTTCACATTTTTAGTTTTCCTCAAATAGACAATACACAGATTGGATTTTAAAATTTTGTAAATATGTTTGCATCTTATAATTTGCTGGGCTTTTCAGAAATGTATAATTTGTCACATTTCCTAAATTTCAGTTTTTGCACATTATTTGCTGGACTGAATTTCGCAATGAAAATTTCTATTATCTAATTGGTTTTAAATTGTAGGAACGTATGTTTTCAAAATGGCGATCAACCCTGATTATAAAGTTCCGGAGACGACATTTGAGAACAATGCCGCAATCTGTACACTTTACTACAGGAAAAATTCAACTCAATCAATCAATCAGCACAATTTTTAAAAGTCAGATTAATAATATTACCAATGTTATTGCAAAGAAACAAAGAAGCAATTTGCATACAAGAGGAAATTTTATATTAAAGAGATCTTTTTTTACATAAATGTATCTTTATTTTTTAAGTATTATAAGTTGAATTTGTTTTAGTCAAATGAGCGCAGTAATCAACAATTGTACTTTCACTAGACCTTGAATTGCTGTTTTATGTACAGTCCTCTATTCTTTTATTGCAATATTAACCCTATTTCTGTTGGGAGGGGGAGGGGGGATGGGGAGGGGAGCGATTTAACCATTACCTTCATGTCCCCCATCTTAGATTGAATCCAGAGATAAGATTTTAAAAGCTTAAACCCGACTAAAGCCCAAACTCGGGCTTAGATAGAACCCAAGTCAGGATTGGTTCTGATTCGACCAATGAGAGACTGTTTTGCAAGCTTTCTCTCTGTAGCAGACAGAATGCCGTCTGATCAGCTGTGACAAGGAGAAGTAAATTTCGATAATTCAAACTTTATCTAGATACATTATTTACATAGTATTTTTATTTTATATAATTAATAAAATTTGACGCTACAAATAATTCCCGAGATTTTAAATGTACAAATATAAAAGATTTACGAAATTTACAATCATCAGCTGCTGAAGACTCGAGCCTTAAAAAGAGTAAAACCCAAGAGGGTCGATTCTTACTAAACTCAAGGCCATCCAAAACCCGGGTCTTGACTTGAGCTTTACTTGGGTCTGAGCAGACGCAAAGACCGGGTTTTAGTTGGGTTTAAGCTTTTAAAATCTCATCTCAGGACATTAACACTGAATCTTTTGGAATTCCCAAAATAAAATTTAAAATTTAAAATTAAACCCCGATTTGGGATTTTGGCTTTTTAGTATTTTAAAGCCTTTTTCAGCTGCATGGCAAAAGATTATTTTCATAAAAAATATATTCAGTTTACACATTTTATGCACAAGATTTAGAGGGGGTAGGATTTGAAGTACTCCAGCAAGCATGGATAGGGTTTATATTATTAGAGCTTATATTTACAGGGTGAACTAGAAAACTCATGATTAAGAAGACGACATTTAAGTAATAATGAAGTGCATTTAATGTGTTTACAGAGCTACCAGCTGTAGCAGTAGCCTGAAAATCAACTTATTGACTGAAATAGTCCTGATTGCACTGCACAATTGCTGTGTCTCATATTAATTGGACTATTTAAAGTCAAAAATTGAGATTTGAAATCGTCTTTCTATTCCAGAATTTTTTGGTTATCTCTGTGTTTTAAATTTTTCTTTGCTGTTACATTAGATCAATTTTATCTAAAATATTATTTATTTTAATTTATTTTAATTATTACGTTAAAATTTTCAATGAAAATTTTTTCTGTACTTACTTTGTTTGTCTTGTTTTATTTTGTTTTCTTTCATGTATGTAACAAAATACTCATAATCAAAAAAATGGTTTTGAAATAGCACAAAACATATTGCATATAAAATTAAATGTCAAAATTACGATTCTATGTGATCTATATTCACATTCTCATAAAGAAAAATAATGGATATAAAAAGTGTTACATAATGTCTTTCTAAACTTATTGTAAAAACGGAAATGAATAGAGAAAATAAATAAAATTATTTAATTGATAATTATAATTTAACCCTATCAACACAAAGGTATATAAAGCAGTCCAAAGTCTGGTTGGTAAAAAATCAAAGGAATTGAGTCTTTGCCACAAACTGTGATTTTCTAATCTCTATATCTTTGAACCCAAATGTTGCAGACCTTAGATATTTCAAACTATGAATTCGGTTGGATCAAATAATCTGAGTTTGAAATATCAAAGGTTAACAACATCGAGTTCTAAAGATATTGAGGTTTTAATATTTGATTTTGTTCCAAAGACTCAATTCCTTTATTAAACTATGTGTCCTAAATTGACACACACTAAAATAAGCTGTTTAAAAATGGGTTTGCCCCACAGTTTACTTCAGAAAAAAGAATTAATGACTAAATATCTATTTTCTGTTTAACCCGGAAAATCCCAATTTAGAAAATGGTGTGGGACACCCTGTGCACTGTGTGCAGGGTGTCCCAAAAAACGTTGCAGTAGTTGTATTGGGTACTGACTACTGAGGGAATTAATTTTCTTTAATTTTCATATTCATGATGTAATCGTAAAGCTTTAAACGTAATAATTTTTCTTTTTTGCTACGTCTTTAAGTATGAGTTGAAAATTGATAACCTGAATTATTTTTGATTTTCGACTTATTCTGATAAAAGTTTAAACAAAAGTTGTTTCCTCAATATCCAAAACCTCCATTGCAAAGTTTTTTTCTGAGTACACCCTTTACATATTTTCTTGAAGTACTTTTCTGAACTAAATCCAGGTTTATTTCAACAGAATGACAAAAAAAACAGATAGTATATTTTGCTTTTGCTATTGAAATGTTGTTGCAAAATACAATTTTGGAAATAAAAACACTAACGTCGTAATTTCGATTTCTCATGATTAATTGTATAAAATGTCTCTTCTAATCTGAAACAATCTATCCAGGATTGAACTTGACAAAATATGAAATTATAAAATCCAATCTAAATCTGAAAAATGTTTCAGAATTAACTAGTTTGTAAAGGAGGAGGAGCAAAAGGAATAATTTAAAAATTTGCATTTTAATAGGAATACAGAGGTATCCAGGGATATAGAGGTATCCTGGGATAAAGGGTATCCTGGGATACAAGGTCGGGTTTCCTGGGATACAAGGGTTTCCTGGGATACAGAGGTATCCAGGGATATAGAGGTATCCTGGGATAAAGGGTATCCTGGGATACAAGGTCGGGTTTCCTGGGATATAGAGGTATCCAGGGATATAGAGGTATCCTGGGATAAAGGGTATCCTGGGATACAAGGTCGGGTTTCCTGGAATACAGAGGTATCCAGGGATATAGAGGTATCCTTGGATAAAGGGTATCCTGGGATACAGTGTACAATGGGATACAGTGGTATCCTGGGATACAGTGCGCAAGGTATACAGAGATCTAGAGATGTTAACGATAGTGTAATGTAGCGTAAAATGTACGTCATTGCACGTTATGTTACAATAATATGAAACATTGGGATATATTCTATGAACAACGTTATAGGAGCTTATACCTAAAGTTAACGTAGCGTTATTTTTCTAATATATACAACATGTTTGACCATAACGTGAAGAAATGTTTTGTTGCCATGGGGAGCTTGGAAGTCTAACGTTTAAAAAATTAATTGTGAATTGATTGCATATCGTAACGAAAGGATTTCTATTTTAAAGTTCAAGTTATAAAAAGTGTAAGGTTGTATAACTGAAATGCATTTTTCATTCATATTCATATATTTATTCAACTACAAAGCATGAGATATTACAAATAAGCAATCACAATTGACTATGCAGTTTGGACCCGCCTAACCAGGGTTGGTTGTTTTGAGTCTTTGGCCCTAAGTTAATTGACGATACTGAATATAATTGTTTACACATATCAAGATATGTTTTTGGATAGGTAAGGAGTTAATTGGAAGGAAGTAGATTTTCAGGTGATCTGTCGCAGGTTGAGATCAGAGGGATTGTTATGTAGAGATAAATTAAAATACAGGATGTTAATGATGGTAGTTACAGAAACAGAAATAAGCTAATAAAGTTTCAGTTATTTTTTTTATATAAATTTTTTCACACGATATACAGCTAGGTTTTTCGCATTTAAACCTCTCATAATTCTCAAGATAATTATTGATTACTCTTTGTTTAAATATTTTTGCAGATTTAGTTTCTTTAAGGTCAATTTCAATTTCATGCCACAATTTAGGAAACATTGCGGACGGAAAGCTTTTTAAATTTTTGTTTAAAACCCGTTCTAATTTGTATGATTTTGTTCTATTCGGTTCAGCTAAAGACTTAAATAAATTTTGGAAGGAAGAGGGAAGGTTATCATTAAAGTATCCATGCATAAATGTCAGAACACAAAGTTTGTATGTATGATCAAGATTAAGAACTTTCTGTTTTGAAAATAATGGATTTGAATGTGCCTTGAAAGTACTATTATTAGCCGCTCTGATTGCCTTTTTTTGCAAAGATCTGATTTTTTGTAGTTTAGAGTTTTTAACCCCTCCCCAAGTAACAATTCCATATTCAATATGAGGCCTTACAAGAGAGTTATAAACAAGTAGACGAATATTTAAATGGTAAGATATTCTTAATTTGAGACAAAGCAAAGATTGAGCTAGCAATTTTATTCGAGATATGTTCAATTTGAAAATCCCAGTTTAAAAATTCGTCCAAGTCCAACAAATTTGAAATATTTGTTCACGCAGTCATTACCAATACTTTCAAGTATCTCATTTCCTATTGGTATATTACAACTGTTGGGGTCAAAGTGCATATTTCTATTTCTAAATACTATATACTTTGTTTTGGAGACATTTAGTGACAAACGATTTGCTTGAAACCATTTTGCTGCTTTTTTTAGTTCAGTGTTTGCATCAAGTATTAGGCTTGCAATGTCAGGAGATGACTTTTAAAAAAATAGTATCATCTGCAAAGAGGCTGGTAAAAAAAGATGTTGCTAAAGGCAAATCGTTTATATAGAGCAGAAACAGCAGGGGCCCTAGAACACTTCCTTGAGGAACACCACATGTTATAACTCTTTCTGTTGAAAAAGCTCCATTTATACATACATATTGAGTTCTATTAACAAGATAATTTTTACACCAGGTGTTGGCTACATTTTTGAAACTATAATGATTTAGTTTTTTAAAAGTATGTCTAAATCACAGCAAAAGCTTTCTTTAAGTCTAGGAATATTCCAAGAGTAAATTCTGGTTTAGATTTATTAAGGTTTTCATAGATTTTATTCATTAAGTGCAAAAATGGTTGATTTGTGTTATGCTTAGGTCTGTTGATGAAAACGTTTTGAAACGTTTTCCCTAATATTATAATAAAAATTCAACGTTTCAAAAATGGTTTCTTAATTAAATAATCAGGAAACGTTAAAGAAATTTATACAGAGTATAAATTTCAATAGTGTAACGTATAACATTTTAATAGATGAAATTCTGTAAATCAAAACGTTTCATGACTTTTCTCTGAATACTTAATTGATTAGTCTAACGGTATGTCTGATGAAACTGTTGTTCATGAAACGTAAAGTTGTGAGGACTAAGTGTTAATTTCAAAAGTGTAACAACAATTCTTCCAATCAAAACATTTCAAAACTTATCTAATCTATTCCTTTAAGAGATGACTGATGAAAATGACAGGAAAGGCTAATGGTTTTTCATTTTGAGTTTAAAGGAAATGAGTTTATGTCACAAACTCTAATTTTTTATTACTATATCTTTGCAATCCGATGTCTTAGACCTTTAATATTGAAATATCAAAG